CCCAACGATCCTCAAACTCCTAATCCCCAAAAGGCCGGTAACGCACTTGTAACGCCTCTGGTGTTCCAGGTGTCCATGGGCGACGCCGATTGCTTACCACATCAGGTGATCCGTCTGCTCGTTTACCGGCTTATGCCATAAAAAAATTGAAGTAAGTACCCCAATTGAGGCCTTTGTCCAACAAGTTCTAGATTAGAATTTTATTGAGGGCATTGTTAAGTGAATTTGTAGGTGAAATATGTATTGTTGCTTATGCTGGTCTCTAGGTTACTGCTTACACTTTCAGGCTAGTATTTAGGGTACCCAATGCCCGCCCATCCCCCTCTCAAAAGGGAGGTATTATAGGAGGAGAGGTAAAACGATAGTTCGCCTACCTATTGACTACATAGGTTTTTACTAATGTATTACACATACGACTAGACAGTGTTTTCCTAAACAATTACTCAAGCAAGAGCATGTTTTTCCTCGAGTAGGTTAACAAGAGGTTACTGCGAAGTGCATTGCTCCACTTTACAAAACCAACACTGCTAAACTGTTATGTCTTCCGCTTGAATGCCCGTTTATGAGACACAATAGAAAATATTTTGAGTCTCGCCGCGAGACTCTCGCGTGAATCCACTATTAGACACACGACGGGTTAAACCCGAATACTAAAAGGCTACCTATTCTAATTTTACATAACATCACGCCTTTTATCCCCGAAGGGATAGGAGGTGCACATTATGCCACTACAATGTAACACCCACTTTTCACTATTTATGTTATAAGTCCCATCTAATAGGGGGTGAGCCTATTGTGATATACCGGGCACATTTCCAGACTCTGTGCTACTACTGAGGTTTTTTACAAACCCAGTAATACTTTGCCCGACCCGGGAATCGAACCCGAGACCCCTTGCCCGGCAGTCGCACTTACGACCACACAGCCAATGAGGCAGTTTATACTCTCATTTTAGTTGTACTTAAATATCGTGCCATCTCTGTCATTTTACAAAGAATTTGTAGAGACGGAACTATAACCACTAAAGCGTGACCTAAAATTGAGTGGTGTTTCAGTATTCGGGCATAAGATGTTTGGACAGGAAAATTACTAGAAGTTCTTATGACTGTTAATCAATATTGTTTGTTTGAACTTCTTTTGAATTTATTTGTTTTAAACTCTGTTCTTTTACACTTGCGCTTTTACTAAGTATACAGTCAAAAGAGATGAACGTAGATCTAAAACTAGGTTAACAAAACCAATGTTGTACCTAAATTGACTAAAAATCGCGGGTTACTCACGTGAAAATATTGAGAAAATATCATGGCTGCGATCGCGCATGCTGTTCATGAGGAAGAACCCCTCTGTGGTTCGAAACTAGTAGAGAATTTCTCAGTATTTTCACGTGAGTCACCCGCGATTTTTAGTTAATTTAGTATGTCTACCGATAGTTATTATAAAAACAATGTTCACCCTATTATAGACGTCCAAATAAAACAAAGTGAAAGGTTTAATAAATACTAGAGCGACATTCCAACTGAGATAAAATGCAGTATTAAAAAACATAAAACGTTTTTATGACCAAGTGTACGTGTATTGTATTTTAAGTTATTGTGAATACCCACGACATGAGTCGATGCGTCATCTATCTACGTAGTGTGGATTGTGAAGAAATGAAACGCATTTTATAAAAATAAGTTTCTGAACACGTGTCAATAATTAAATATAGATTACTTAAATGACGAATACATATAGCCTAAAGAAAAAAAAAGAAAAAGAACTTAAATTTTTTGCCTAATGCCACGATTCTTATTGTTAAAAAAAAAAAAAACATTAGTAGGTACATATTTCTCTTACTACTGGCCTGTCACGTGACGACCTATTGATCAAATATTCTGTAGATTTAAAATGTTATGTCATAGGTACCTAAAAACCAAAAAAAAAAATAAAATCAACAGATTAATCAACATACCCAAAGATAATCCGAAAAATAAAAAAAAAAAAATATTATTCCCGGATTTCCCCTAAATGTGTGTCAACTGTCAACAGACATAAAAAAAACGAATAATATAGACATAATCTATTAAATACCGACATAATACCACTTAATATCGCCAAGCCTTGAGACATAAAGATAATAATAGTTCGAACAATTTCTTTGAACTTGGCCCTTTTTGCAATCAATGATAGCAAGCGTATTACCTTATCTGATAATAAAAGTATGTACTCTTAACGCTAAACATATTAATGTTAATATAATCTTTTGTACAATCGACTTACGGCTGATTTCATTAACCTATCATAATCTAAACGGATTAAGATTGTTTTGTGTTTGACAGAAATGCTATAAGTACTACAAGTAATGTCAAAAATCGATCCATCCATATCCATTGATTTTGGATTAAGATAGCCTATTGAAGTCAGCCGTTACCCTCTATATGCCGCAGAGGACTTACCGGGTTGCCGGGGCTCCGACTCGAAGGGCAGGAGTAGGAACGGGGTGGTTTTAGTCAGTAAGAGTCTCACACTCCTTTCCGCCTCACCCAGGCGGGAGAAGTCATTCAATGATTTTCCCCCCTTAAAAAAAACCCACGTCTATATTTCTTTATTTATTTATTCAATGGATAGGTACACACGGCCACACATCAACCTATACAAAACCAGTTTATCCTGGTGTCGCGTCGCATCATCTTTCCGCACATTTAACGTTTAGTTTATACTGGTTATGTAAAGCTCGATGTGTAGCCGTATGTACACAAAGCAGAAACACGGCCAATACACAACAGAGTAACAACATAAAACAGTAAATGGCAGACCATGCTTCCATAAGTATGTGTACACAACATGACACGCAACGACTAGTAGACATTAACACTTATTTGTAATGAATTATAATCCAGAGCGAAATTAGAGGTAGAATGTGTATGAATGTAAACATGATTTAACTATTTACAGTTCACAAAAACAGTTTAAATAATAATAGGAAGTTAAAACAAGATTGATAATAATTAGGCCAAGCAGTATATCAGAGGGTGATAGCAGCTACCGGGCAATGACACACAAGATAAATAAAACAAGATTCTCGACTTCGCGTGTTTGAGCGCTGACAACAGTTTTTTGTTTTTTATTTTGTAAAGTCTGACGGATTCATTAGATAAATTTTGACACTTAGCAGACGTACAAGTGATTTTGCTACCTGTGTGATATTTCAGAGTAACTCTTCGATTCTGTGCTTAAATTGATCTTTAGGGTTAAAATATTTTAAATCGATGTTAAATGTCTCGTAGTAGACATTTGTGTAAGTATAATAAATAGATCAGATACTTAATGAGCTCTAATGATTCAAAGTCCGTAATATCTTTTGAGTCATATTATAGAGACTGCCTCGTTGGCCGAGCGGTCGCAAGTGCGACTGCCGGTCAAGGGGTCTCGGATATCTCGGGTTCGATTCCCGGGTCGGGCAAAGTACTACTGGGTTTTTATAAATTCTCAGTAGTAGCACGAAGTCTGGAATTGTGCCCGGTATATGGCAATAGGCTCACCCCGTATTACATGGGACTCATAACATAAATAGTGAAAAGTGGGTGTTACATTGTACAGTGGCATAATGTACACCTCTGCCGGGGATAAAAGGCGTGATGTTATGTTATGTTCATATTATAGATATCTGCTAAGCTATCTGTATTGTAAAAGTAATCGATACATTACAAAATTCAGTCTCGCATCTCACTAACGAATGTGGTAATTACGAATTCATTTAACAATGCACTATTTGTGACGTCATAAATGATAATACTGGCGTCCATTCTCATTACAGCCTTGGCATTGGTTGCACTTGCACTGTATGTAGTGATTTGATATGTTATGACGTTGTTGGGCGTACATATTGGCGTTTTCAGTGATTTATCTGTGCGTTAAGTACCTATGTTATTTTAAATGTTTAGATATTTGACGTACCGGAATTAATGGGCTAGTAATCTTTCTCTCGTTGCCAACTTCAAGTGGTAGATTCTTGTGTGTATCTACTCAAAACGTTTTATTTCAGTAACATCATTATAGCATTGATTGCCGACAAAACAGTTATTGGTGTGGCTCATATGTTGTCCCCCATGTCGCTGAACGTGTAAAACTTAAAGGTGTTTTAAATTGTTAGTATGTAAACCAAATCACTTGAGAATTAGTAAAAATGTATCATTTTTAGAAATTGTTCTTTTGCCGGCATCGATTTCTAATCATCAAGGATGACATACCGTCTGAACTAAGACGTCGGAATTGGACGTACAGTACGGAAAAGTTTATGATAGTATACTTTTTCAACAAAATCCTTTGGGAAACTCCCTATCTACCTCCTTGGGGCCTTCTCTTGAAACCAATTCCGATCGATCGACATTGGTATTGCGAAATTTTGTACTCTTGAGTTGCAACACTGGCGCCTATTGCATCCGTATATTGCGTGGATATTTAATGAACTAAATGGTACTGAGTTTGGCTTTATATTCCTTAGTCTGAATGCTATTTAATAGCTACGATAGGGGTTGTATACATTTGACATTAAATCATTATTGAGATTTTATTGGATTGAAATTGCATTGACATTGAGACTGGTTTCAAGCCTTTTTTAAAATCATCGAATGCCTTCTCCCGCCTGGGTGAAGCGGAAGAGAGTGTCAGACTCTTACTGACTAACAACCACCCCACCTCTACTCCTGCACTTCGAGCCAGAGCCCCGTTAACCAGTTAGGTTCTCCGCGGCTCCAAATCGGCATCAGTCCTCTTGGGCTCCATACGTGGTTTCAAGAGTTAGAACCCTATTTTCTATGGTACGTAGCTCTCGCGAATGCAAGCGAATATCGCCTAATCATGGTCGACCGCCGACTTTGTCGATTGTACCTAATTGTTTACATATCGCATTAAACATATGCATACAATACATACCTACATATTTATGCGTCACTACGTTACATAACTTGCATAAATATTGTATGAAAAAAGTAATCATGAATGATGTAAGTAAACAATCATTATGCTGGTTTATAACACACGTATACTTCACGTATCTTATCTGACCGTTAATTATTAAACTGTAGTTATATGCCGCGGGGGGTATTTATACATTGTATGAATATCATATAAAATAAGCTACTACTAGGTATCATGGTTTTTTTTAAACTTTATGCCTAAGAACTGGATTGGGTAGTTTCCAGGGTATCAAAATTAAAAATGTAATTAGTCCGTCAGTTAGATAATGAAAAAATGTAGGACACGTATTTTTTTATTTTCTCGTATTAAGTTGCAATACTTAGATAAAATCGCGCTAAGTTTAGGAGTGGGAGGTCGTTACGTCATAACGTGCTACAAAACGTGGCACGCTGTGACGTCACACGATATTTCAAATCAATATATCGTCGAAAATATTGTGAGAATAGAAAAAATACGTGTCTAAATCTAAAGTTTTAAATTAATGTACCAAACGGACATTAAAATAAAATTTAGGAAACTACCATATTGTTTTGGTTCAAACGTAAAAAAAAGTTATTTTAAATAACAACATCATTAACCTCTTGTCTGTCGATATATGAGACAAGATAGAAAACGCATTGTGTCTAGCGTAGATTTACGCTCCGACATACCAGAGGTTAAATCGTTTTTGATTAGAATTCATAGTCATAGGTACACCGAGCACGGCTTATCTTGCGGTACCTGTAAACCGGTATTTGAAAATGTTCTTATTTCGTTTTCGTTTTAAACAATATGAAAATAGGAATAATAGAATGAACAAAGGCCAATTGAAAACTTTATTTGTGTTGTAACTTTCGTGAGACATACTAAATAAATTATAATATTTTCGGCTTACTCACGTAATAATTTGAAGAGGAAGGAGTCGCCGCGTCGCGGGTCGCGAAATGCTGCTCATGAACATGAGCCTTTAGCATGGCTTGAAACTAGTCGAGTTCCTCGTCAAATTATTACGTGAGTAAGCCGAAAATACATAATATAATAATTTATTGAAAACTTTTTTTAAACCGTTTCGATATATAACATTTCCGAGGCTTGGGTACTGAGATGTTTATTTTTATAACTAATCTTTGTAACATAACCCACAAAACAAATAAACCTACATAAAAAGACAACGATTGATTAAACTCTTGTAGCCGGTATATGACAATAAAAATACATTGTGCCTCGCGTAGACTTGCGTTCAGGCATACCACGGCTAAATTATGCATTAAAAATTGCCCACAGTTCGATAATTCCGGCCATCTGGCTTGTAAATTAATAACAATTTAAAACAGAAACCGTCACGATGACTTCAATCTACCCCTATACTTATTATACTCTTTGCTTCAATCAATACTCTAGTTCATGAATATAACCGGTATGCCTATGAATTTTTTACTATATTTATCCTTATACATAATTTGGGCCGACGACATTAAAAAGGATCGACCTAAAAGTAGGTTATTATTAGACGAGTTTACATAGAACGTTTATGAATATGAAAGTTAAAAACTTTTTTTTTTTCTTCTTTGGCAACCGAAAGTTAAAAACCTATGTCTTAACTCGTCGAGTACCGTCATTATAGACACAATTATAAAACAATAGGTTGCGGTCACCGGTGACCGCTTGGTGTTTGACAGTTTAATCAAGTTTCTGACGTTCCGTCGAATATGTCAATCAAATCAAAATAATCACACTGCACTGCTTTAAATAATGTTGACGAATAATGTTGTCGTTTCATAGATAGATTCATTTCTAGATGACTAAAAATCTGTTTCCAAATATCTACCTTTACAGAAGCGGTAACATAAAATGGTTGATAAAACAGCTTAACTATCTGTATTTCTTCCTATCAATCAATACAGGGAAAACACTTCAATTGTTATTATACTTTCGATGAAAAACTAATAAAGTTTGTTATTCAAAAATATCGTAGGAAAACAAACATAAGTGGCTACTGGCCACACACGATATTAACGTAAGCATTGAAAATATAACAATATTATCAATTAAAAACAAATGACTTTATTTGAAATAAGAACTTGGCGGCAATTTTCCGTGCTCCCATAATTTGGCGCGAAATTTTTGACAATGACGTTTCTCTGCACTGTCATCATTAACCTCTTTACATTATGGTTGATTCAGGTTGATCAAAGATTGAGGTATATTATAACTGGTGAGTTCAGATTTAAAAATCATTATGAACTTATGAAGGGCGCTAAAACACCTTTTATTTGCGCGATAGCCAAATAAAATAAGATGGCTGCACTTGAATCTTAGTAAGTACGTACTACTACTAAGAATGAAGGGATTCATTGCATCTATAAGTTTATAATTAGAAAAAACTTATTTGATGTGTGGGTCCACCTTACCTATCCATTCGAGGAATAACTATGTGCCAATCTATTTATTATTATGTTTCTATTCAACAGAGGTGCAACCCACTCCAACCTCGTGATATGTGACGAGTCAGGCGCAGTAGTGGGCAGTGCTCAAGGACCAGGCACCAATCACTGGACACTGGGCATCGAAGAATGTGTTGAGCGAATATTAGTGATGCTAAATACCGCTAAAGAAAAGGCTGGTATTCCCCAAAACCAGCCTTTAGATGCTTTGGTAAGTAACGTCAATTCTCAGCAAAGGTTAGGGCGCCCAATGTCAATGTCAACTTGATCCAATAAAATCTCAATAATTTTTCAATGTCAACAGTATACAACCCTAATCGTAACTGTTAAGATAGCATTCAGGATAAGATTACCTAGTTCATTCAATGTCCACGCAATACGGATGCAATGGGCGCTAGTGTTGCTATCGGAATTGGATTCATTTACAGTTGGAAAAATAGGTACAATGACCTTTCAATAAGTAAGACAGAATATTAAGTCAAGATACATGTACTACCTATTTTTGAAACATATCAGACAGTACTAGTAGAACAAATGTAATAAGTAAATGTATTAAATAAAAAAGAAACAAGTTAACTGTTCCAATTTCTTTCCTAGTTTTTCAACCCTATGACCTTTGAAATCAAGTTCATTTTTAAAAGATTTTAACATTCACTTTCACTCTAGTTACTATTACACTATGGTAGAATGACGTCTGAATATAATACCTATAACGGTATTTCACGTACTGACCGCGTTTAACCTATCGTTGGTTGAATTACGGTACCAATAAACTGGTAGTAAAAATTGGGTACTTGTTACAATCAAGTCGTTGTTACGATTGGTTAGGACAAAATAATGCTGTATGGAAAAATATATCTGTCTGGAGACCATAGAGTTTCCAACAACGAGGTTATAGTTTAAACTTTATGAGAGGGCTATGTTTACAATTTAAAATTGGAACATTTCTTATGCCTCGCCTTAAATAGGACGCATGCAACAAAGCGACAAAACTGCAGTAACGACTTACAAATTGTATTTAAATTATCAACGCAATAAATGGAATCTTCAAACATCATGAAATCATAACATAAATTAACAGCTCATGACCAATACCAAAAGGACTTTGGAAATACGGTCCGGTCATTATCTCTTTATAATGTTTCAAATACGTATACCCTCAAAACGACCTCGGTACAAAAATATACCGCTCAAGAAGCATCAATTATTCAATTGTTCGAACAATTCTCGCTCAATCAACTTCAATGATTTCAACCTTTTGCGTCCAGGGACTCACATTGTCGGGATGCGAGCAGGAGAGCAGTAATTCAGAGCTGGCTGCCAGTGTGCTAGCAAAGGATCCCAATGCTGCATATGATGTCTACGTGGCTTCGGATACCGCTGGTTCCTTGGTCACGGGAGCGCCTGATGGTGGAATGGTGTTAATTGCTGGTGAGTATCTTTCTTATAAGGGCCGCAAACGCTTATACGGGTCATCGGCACCAGCCATGGACATCCATCAAACCATTGGAGTTAAGAGTGGGATACCTTCCTTTTGAGAGGGGGATGGGCGGGCATTGGGTACCCTAAATACTAGCCTGAAAGTGTAAGCAGTATCCTAGTGACCAGCATAAGCAACAATACATATTTCACCTACAAATTCACTTAACAATGCCCTCAATAAAATTCTAATCTAGAACTTGTTGGACAAAGGCCTCAAATTGGGGTACTTACTTCAATTTTTTTATGGTATAAAACTGGCCGGTAAACTAGCAGACGGATCACCTGATGGTAAGCAATTGGCGTCGCCCATGGACACCTGGAACACCAGAGGCGTTACAAGTGCGTTACCGGCCTTTTGGGGATTAGGAGTTTGAGGATCGTTGGGGATTCAGTTATTGGGGTGATTGGGGAAGGGGAGGGTAATTGGGCCTCCGGTAACCTCACTCACACGACGAAACACAACGCAAGCGTTGCTTCACGTCGGTTTTCTATAAGGCCGTGGTATCACTCCGGTCGAGCCGGCCCATTGCCGAAGCATGGCTCTCCAACACTTATCAAATTACCATATCAAAATTGTAAGAAAATCAACTGAAATAATAAGCCACGCTTGCGTATTTCGCCTTGTAAATGAATAACACTGAGGAACATAAACTAATATTAATTCAATAAAGGTTAAGGACCTTTGGTGTTGCGACACATGTCGATGTCGTTCGATGCTCTGTTGACGTTACGTACGTAGAATAGAATAATTATGCGCTTAATTTCGGATGTGTAGATTATTTTGACCTGGTTATTCTATGATGGATTGTACTGGGTGACTGGGTGTGAGAAATTTTGAGATAGGTATTTTTCAATTGCGTTGATAACATAACATAACATCACGCCTTTTTATCCCCGACGGGGTAGGCCGAGGTGCACATTTCGGCACTTAATGCCACTGTAGGTACAAT